GACTGTATAAAAAAAAAGATCGTCGCCAATCATATTTAGCCTAATTTTAGCCAATCAAAACAAACTTCCACTATGCTAACTTTCACACAATTTCTTTGTCGTGAAATTTTTTAGAGCTTTCATTAAGGCATAAATGGCAGTTTCATATGAATCGCGATTTAACTTTGTATGTGCTTCATACAGGTAAACAAGAAAAAAAAATCTACTATAATTCTATCTATATTTGTTTACTATCAACCGGATTTTAACCGTTTATAAATTTTTTAACTGACTAATCAAGTATTAGCCTGTTTACCGGCTAATTACTAATCGGATCAAATCTCTAGTACGTATTTAAGTTTATATCATATTCGAATTCGGTTCTCGTCAAAAATATTTTTCCACTAATAATTCTGAATAAGAATTGACCGTTAGTAAAAGGATATACTTTTAACTTTGAAAAGAATCGAATTCGAATACGTGTAAACTTAAACACCATTATTTCATAAAATCAATAATCTATTCTTTTGTACTAGCTACTGTACAATATAAATCGAATTCTTTCTTATATTAAATTTCTTATATTTATTTTTTATATTTATTTCTTATAATATGATTCAGTAATTATTCATTATAATGTATACTGTATCTTAACATAACGAAAGCTATCTTACTGTCGCTATTTTTAAAAATTTAAGCTCGTTTAATTAAATAAATAAATAAAATAAATTAACTTATGCTATTAAATGAATAATATTAGCTTTTCTCAAATTATATTTCTTATTCGCGTATTAACTTCATATATCAAAAGAAATTAAATTTCTGCCATTGTGTTATTTGCCATTGTGCTACTTTGACCTACTATTTCATTACTATCTACTACTTTTCTTGCATAAACTCGAACTATATCAAAATATGCATCATACTCAAATAGTTCTTTTTCCGATATATTAGCCAACTCATCATATTCTTCAGGAGAAATTTGCATGATTTTTGCTAAACGAGGCTTCCAAGCAGCATACAAAGTAACAGAAATATAGATAGCCTATTTATTTGTGTGATATTAAAAAATTTTTAATATTATTAATAAAACATGAGGTTTATTTAATTTGTACAATAGTTACCGTCTTACTAAGATTAAGATCGATTTGGGTAGACTTTGCACCATGATGGCATTCTCTTACTTCTTTTTTGATGTTTTCTAATTGGCCTAATTTAATAATTCATTGAATATGTAATTAGCTAACCAATTTTTTTATATACAACAAAACTAAATCATAATGAGTTGATAAATAATAAAAACCTTGATTTTGTACATATTTCTCTAATTTTTGTGTTGCAAATGCATCAGTGCCTTGGATGCTCATTGCTGCTATTTCTTTATTATATTAAATAGACGATTTGTATAAAGTAAGCAAAATGAAACAATAACACTATCAATGAATTATAAGGTACATACCAGCATCACATAAACGTTTGGTAGCTGGTCCCATATTGTATAACATGGAACGTTCCATCAACTTATTTAAAACACGTTAATTACAGTTTTGACAAAATTTTAGCCGACGAATGTTAAAGCTTTTTACTAGCTACGAATTTAGTTGATAAATACGCATACCTCTAAGTATCCACCTGGTTTTAAAACTCTGACAAGTTCATTTACTACCCGTGGCCAATCTTGCTCAGTATACGCTCTCATTAAATTACGTTGAAATATATAATCAAAAGTGTTATCTTTGAATGGTATTCCATCTAGAACATTTGCTTTAACGAAAGTAAAATTTTTAGGCTTTATTTGTGTCGCTTGTTGTTGAGAAATATCAATCCCAATAATATTAATCAACGGATAGCTAAAGAGATAGTATTATTTTAGTTGAACATATAGCTCTTTAATAGTTGAAAAACATAAAAGATCAACGTACGTGGTAGCCATATCAAATGACCATGATGCTGCGCCGCATCTGAAATTATGAAAATGCCAAATTAGTACATAAACGACAAATTTAATAGGGACTTCAATATATATACATATATATTATTAACATATAATTGTTAATATTTAATAAATTTCAGATGATCAACGAATAAGTTTCAAAATTGGTTGGTCTTTTTTAGGGATTCAATGAAGATGATATAATACTAGCACTAGTCCAAATGAAAAAATCAGTATCAGTTCACACTAGTTGAAACTATATATTAATGGGCTATCGAATGTGCTAAATATATACTGGTTTATGTCGACTTTCTGTCAGTACTCTGCCAATATTCAGCCAGCAAACTAGTCGAATATTGACAGAACTTGCAAAAATGCTTACAGAAAACTCGTAGAATGCCGATAATTACCAATATATATTCGGCACATTCAGCAGCCCATTAATATAGTATCAACTAGTGTGAACTGGTACTGATTTTTTATTTAGACTAGTGATTGTAATAACAATAACTATAACCTACGCACCCAACATCAAGGATTTTGGTTTCTGGATTAGTCAAGATATGGTTAATAGGAGCTGAGAAATTGCTTTTCCAAACATTTTTGGTTAAAAAATGTCTGAAGTGTAGCCTATCTACTTCATCATCGTCATTAGGGAGAGGATATACGACATTTTCTAGATTATGAAACCTTCGACCATCAATGTATAGAAATTCTGATTCTTTATTCTGTGAAATTTGAGAAAATTGTGAATTTAAAGAATCAGTTTCTTCGCTTAATTTAGAAGAACAAATGCCCATGCTAAAAGAATGATTTAAATTTTCTTGTTTATCATGATTATTTTAAAGAAATATGGCGAGTTAAAATATGTTTTTTTTTTTTGATAATAAACTAAATAAGTTCCATTAAAGGAAACCATTTTTTGACAATAAATAAGTGCTACCAAGTCTACCCTTTTGTTGTACTAGATTTAACGTTAGATTTAAGAAATTGTGCACCTGTAAGATAATCAAATTACGTACATCAATAATTTTAAAAGTCCGGAACGGTTAAATTTAAATTTGTACTTCCCTGGCTGCGTTCAAATAAGAGTTTTTATTAAAAAAATAACTTTAAATATTTGATCCTGTATAGAATTAACTATTACGCAATTAATCGGATCAATGAGTAGCGGTAGTGAAGGGACCCTTAATTATTACGCCAAGTGGTACGAAAATTACGTTTGTGACGCATGCATAAATATACAAATATTGTGAAGATCGTATATTTACGCGCTTCTGTGATCGTGATTTATCAATTTTATACAATTGAATTCATAAGATTAGAGTATGTTACGCCCTAACAACTGTCTTCAAAAAAATATAACCACCCATTTGCGATACTACAGAAACTCTCAAATCGAAGCATTAAGTATCTTTGTACTTCTGGGGTTTATCTTCACACAAAGATAGACAAATAACTTTTATTACTGTCTATAGTACCCGGGGTCTTATTCAAGAGATTCATTTTTAAAATTGAATAATAGTGCCGGATACTATTCGCAAATCTAGTGATTTAATTGGTTGAGAAGGTACATTATGTGGTAGGATATTATTTTCGGGGAATATTATATTTTGTGATAAACGGTAATGATTTTAATAAATATAAACATTAAAGCTAACTGGTTAGAAAATAATAATAATAATAATAACTTTATTACAACATTAGACTAAAATGGATTACAAAATTCGCGGCTTTACTTTGATAGAATAGAGATGAGAAAAATGCGCATGTTAATAAAATTTGCATATCACATGATAGAATTTTTTTGATTTTATATTTTCATTTCGGGAAAATATCGGATATTCGACTGACCCTGTTCGCTTTTTATGTTCATTCATTTCTTTTCAGAATTTTCGGACCATTTTGCGTTCCTCTTTCTTAATTCCGCTCAGCATTATGCATTTTGGCTTAAATTATATATACTTTAATTTTCCTATACAAAATTTAGATGTAACAAAATGTTAGGTGCGGCACATTATAATTAATTAAAACTATGTGAGATCAGTTAATAAATTTTTGCTAAATGCAGATCAATTTTGAATTGTACCATATAAAGCCATATGTAAATATTTACATTTATATTTGTCCACACAAATTTTGATGTTTAATATAAATATTTCTTCTGTAATTTTGTTTTATTATATTCTTATAATAAATAAAAAAAGGCCAAGTTATAATAACTGATTACTAAGTTTTTTTATGGCATTTATTTATAATTTATTTATTATAATAGAATGGGCGTTTATAAACCACGAAGAACTTATGATCATTAACCAATCAAATTGCTAAAATTTGCATTCTTGTGTGCTCATCAAAAAAATCCGCATTTAGTGGATTTGCAAATTTGCAGATATAGTATTGATTAATTATAATGTGCCGCACTCTAATAAAATGTGCATAATTTCGAATCACACGCATGATTGTGGAATCACGCTCACAGGAAGCCTACTTCTAGATTGAAGAAAAATGATACAATCCGGGTCAAAAAACCCGGATCACCCACGGGTTGTGCGGATATCCGGATGAAGACATCAACACGGGTGAACGCGAATATGGTGCATACATAAAAGCTCATTAGCACATTAAATAGCTAGCCGATCAAATTGTTACATTTTTAGTGTAATAATTAAATCTTTTGGTTATTTGTGTTAAGTATTTGAAGGAATCGAGCAATAGCCAATGGTAACTGGATTATTTGACGTATTAAAATAAGAATTGTTGCAATTTTTTTAAAAAAAATGGTTTAACAATCAACCGGATTCATACGGATATCTGATTTTAAAAGCATCTAAATATCTGATTTTTGCATCCGGGTCGTATCTCTAATGAAGTTTTATATTTCAATATCTTGAAATTAACGTTTTGGGGTTTGCGAAATTTGACCATAGTCCAAAACCTCGACTGAATTAACGTCACATTCTTCAAATCCGCCGAATTATAAGTTAAAATAAATGATCACTTACTGTATACTATGTTTTTTTTAATGGTTCTATGATTATTGTCTTTTTTTTCTATTTAGTCTCTCGAGATTTACATTTAAGATAGTTTATTGTGTATAACCATATTACACGGGATTATGGCACTATCAGTATCTTACATAATTATAGATGTATAGGATACGTAATTGAATTTTCCTATCCAAATCAATCGGTTTAACCTATTTCTACAGTAAATTATTTTTATTAATATCTTTTACTACCGTATTGCGTGGACTAAGGCACGTATCCTTGCAGAAGACCATCAAAACTATTTCTAGGAAATGAAACTTTCATTTCGTGTCTTTGCAAAGTAATGTTGTATTTCCTATCCTTTTTCGCATCAGATTATGGATATTGTACTTCAGATATTAATCGTTAGGTGAGGTGCGTGACCTGTGCATCGGCTACACGAAAAAAGTTTTAATCAAAGAATTTGTTCAAAAATACTGACCGAACTCGCTATAGAGATGGATTTCAGTCGTGCGCATTATTCAGAACGATTCGCATTTTATCACATCTAAATTTTATATAGGTATATATAATTTAGGCCAGAGTGCATAATGCCGGGCGGCATTAAGGAATAGGATTGCACAGTTTCGGAAAATTCCCAAAAGGAAATGAATGACAAAAAAATGAGCAGGGTTGGGTAAAAATTTGAGTAAATTTCCGATATCTTCAAAAGGAAAATACAAAATCAAAAAACTATATCATGTGATATCATGCGCATTAAATGCGCATTTTATCCCATCCGTTTACAATATATATTTTACGTATTAAAGTTTGATTAAAATTTACCAATTTTAACTGATCCTTTTTTTTTTTATTTGTGCTGCAATACAAACCGAAAAAGGAAACCTGGTTTTTTAAATAAACTAAGTGTTTAAATATAGAAGTTTAGGCTATAGCGATAGAGTGTCACTTGTTAAATGACTAAGGTCGAATTAAACACTAGCCTTTGGGTATTTTCTTCATGTCGAACTGAAACTCACTGTTGGCTGTTTCCTATTTAAATTTGTATTACCCGGTACAAATAAGTGAAGTCCGTAATAATTTATTGTAAGAAGATTCTACTCAAATTTCAAATTTACCATAATAGGTTAGATTGCGCTATTTTTGCTATGAACTTTTCATCGTTATACTTTGCAATTCAGAAAGGAAATTATCATTTGTCTTTTCATAAGATAATTGAAATTGCTATTGTATAATTATGCGGAGTAATGATAAAAACAAAAACATCTTTTGGGCTTTTTAATTAATCTTTTTACATCTACTCACCAGGGCAAAAAATACCTACTTATTTACTGGCCACTCAAAAAGTATCATTTTTGATTCATAATATACTAAATCCGATTTGGCTAAAAAAAACAATTAATATTATGCATATCATATAAATATTGCATTAGAATACTACACATAAAAAAATGATCATCGGGGTAAATCGATCCGGAATCTCAAAATATGGGCCTCAACTAAGACTAAACCAATCCAAATCAATACTACAACAGCTAAACTCTATCGAACCCTAATATTGGTGGGCATGAAAGAAGGCGTGGAAAGACTTGGTCTGTGTTATTGGGGCCAAATAGAGCTCTAGACTACGTCACGAGGCCCTAATTCTGGATCACAGGACTATAAGATAGTTTACCGGGGAATTATGAGAATTAACTTTTATGAGTTATATGCGTAAAACATTAATCAAGGCGAACTCTTAGGCCTTATATACATTCTTTAGCTACTATCTAATTCACTAATTCTATATATTATATCTAACATATATAAGATATATAACATATCTAATGTATCTAACAGGTATAACGTATATAACAGATCTTACAATCTGACGGATCTGACATATCTGACATATCTGTTAGATATGTTAGATATGGTTGATCTTTTCCGACCCACCTCAATCTACTACACCAAAAAATTATTTCAAGCCACATTTTACCCTTTCACTATGTAGTTTTAATATTGATTAAAAGCAAAAATTTTTTTTGCAAAAAGCTTGTTTAGAGTGGAAGCAATAATTAATGTTGACCTGATATATTAAATTAAAAAAGTAATTTATGCTATTAGCTACTAACCTGTATATGATATCAGATATGATTACAAGTTCTAGTTTAGGTGATAGTAATTATAGTAAGAGAATTTATACCTTTTCAAGGAAATCCAGTAAAACTACCAGATATAATAATTTGAAAATTCTATAGTTATATAGTCTATCTAATCCTCTTGCTAATATAATAAACATAATATCAATAAATAGACAAATATGACAACAAGTTAAAATATACAACAATCTATATCAAAATGCACTTAAAATTTACAAAGCAATATGCAACTTAATATATCTAATATTATAAATTCAGAAAATCAATTATTAAATAAGGTTTAAGCATTAAAATATCAAATTATTAATTGAATTTAGTTTAATTGCAATAAATATTTAAATATAAAAAGAATTTGCTTTGATATAAACTAAGAACAATTTTTAATTATAATCTGGAGATCCAAATATATTTAGGCAATTAAGCACTATTGATAAGCTATTAATATTATATTTTACAATTCTATTTACAATATTTTTCTTTTGAATAGTAACCTTAATTGGCCAGCTTTATATTTGTTTTATTAAAGATTTTTTGTTTCTGTTACAATGAAAGTACATTAAGCTACATATACACTTTTGGTGCCTAATTTAGTAGTCTGCATCTTAGCTGTTTTATTTAAAGTTTTACACTATCAACTATATCTACAACCTGAACTATAAGGTTACCCATTTAAACTTTCTATAAAACCTTCAATATCCAAATTTGTGTTAGGTCTTCGAACTAGTTTATTTTTTGAAATAAATCTAAAATAGTTAATTGGTGTATTTGATAAGTAGCTTGATATTCTTACTAAATTAGGGCATTCTCAAACGCCTTAATCAATAGATCAAGATATATTAAAAACAATGATGGTAAATGACCTGGTCATTAGCAAATTTTTCAAATGACCTAAATGACTCGTGACCAAATGACCATAGTCATTTGGAAATGACCGGGGTTATTTGAGGGTCATTTAGTCTATAGGTTTTGAAATAGGCTGGGTTAGCTAGGCATTCGTATACTTGGGGTTTACTAATTTCCCTATCGGAGTACTATAGATTTAATTAATAGCATAGATACTTCGATATGTGAATAATTAGTAGAACCAATCAGAAGTGGTGGGAGAAATTAGTAAACTCGTATACTTGGGCCCAAGCTCCATAAAAATTTTATATGCCCGACCCAAGCCAGGAATGGTAAATGATCCGGTCGTTTGATCGAAATTTAAATGACCCCAAATCATCAAATCATGACAAGATCATTAAGCTCATTAAGCTCATTTACGTAGTTCATTTGCATATAAAATAATTTTGTTGGTCGAATTGATCATATAAAAAGTTATCAAACTTTATTACATTCCTAACCGATAATCGTCAAAGTATCATTAAGTTAATCAATATTTATAAATTGAATTTCGGACAACTTTATTTTAATTTTGTTTGACGGCAAATTTTGATTGGCTAAAGGGCAATAGAATATCAATTAACATATGTTAAATGACCTTCTAAGTCATTTGGGTCTCGAAATGACCCAATGACTAGTCATTTGTCATTTGGGTCATTTCAGGTCATTTACCATCACTGATTAAAAATGTGTCAAAAAATAAATTTTGATTAGTGAAAAGTATTTTTAAGCATTGAATGAGCTTGCTATCGAGATAAAGAAGGTACGAAACACACAGTTTATAACAATGGATAATAAAAATGTTCAAGATACATATAATTCTAACCAACAAACTTCATACCTTTTTTTTGTGCTTGTTATCTAAATAATAAATCTAAGTGAATTAAGATTTTGTATTTTTTTTTAATTTAAATAGCTTATATTTATCGTACGGGTCTTATGTAACAACTCGAGCTTTTTTCACTTACTTATTCGCACGGGTATATATGAAAATCACATGATTTTCATATTTACCCGTGAAAATGTTATTTTGCTAAATTTATTACGATTAGATAACTTTTCTAAATAGTGCTTCTAAATTTGCAATTATTCGAGCGAAGCTAATTTATTCAAATGCATTTAAAATTTGAAATTGGCTGAACAACGAAATTCATTACATATTTATTGAAAATAAAATAGCATATATTTGACTAATTGATAAATGAAATCTTCAAATTGAGATCAATCGGTTTGCTAGTATCGGGAAATTGTATAATCACATTATTTGTAATTTGCTGTAATACTTCATGTTTGTTTTTTGCAATCAGCACTGATACTTCTTCGTCTTTTTCTTCAAATTGTCCGATTGCTTGATTATAATGATTATCCTTAGTCTGTGTCATTTGTTCTTTATCATTTTCTTGTATTTGTTGGTTTTGAGACGTATGCTCTTGTGTTTGTTGGTTTTGAGACGTATGCATTTGTTGGTTATGAGACATATGTATTTGTTGATTCTGAGATGTATACATTTGTTGGTTCTGAGACGTATGTATTTGTTGGTTCTGAGACGTAGACATTTGTTGATTCTGAAATGTAGGAGCTTGTTGAATCTGTAATGTAGGAGCTTGTTGAATCTGAGGTGTAGGCATTTGTTGATTTTGAGATATAGATAATTGTTGGCTCCGAGGATAAAGCTGAGCTTTCTTTTTAGGTATTTTAAAAGGCGTTAAAAGTTTAGGATTCAAATTTGAAACCATACGTTTTCTGAGAGAAGAAACTTTATCTAAGAGGTTGAATAATATATTAAATATAGTTATTATATAATTATTCGAAACGATATATAAGTACCTGAAATTGTAGTAACAGATGGTCTAGATACAGAATTCAAAGATTGTTAATTTTGATTTAACGTATTATTAGAATTGAGATTGGGATTTAATATAGTATCAGTATTGGTGCTTAGATTTAACATAGTATTAGCATTACTGCTTAAATTCGACATAGTATTAGCATTAGTGCTTAAATTCGACGTAGTATTAATATTAGAGCTTAGGCTTGATGTAGTATTAGTATTAGAGTTTAGAATCTCTATTCCGCTTTCATTATCTAAAAATAAAAATTATAAGTTATCGATTTAAGCAAGTTTTTAAATATTATATTAATAATACTTTCATTTTTGTCAGATTCATAATTGACATAATTATATGAATCACCAGGAAAAGAGTAATAAGATTCAATATCCTCATTATAAGCTGTATAAGGAATTAATAGTGCTATAGATGACAAACACTGATCATCTGTTGGACTACTATATGATTGGATACCTTCTCTAGAACGGTGCCCTGAGAATATCATAGCTTCATCTTCTAGAATATCAGATGCTTTTAATATCATTATAGCTGTACGACGGGCACTATGATTTGTAATTTTTCTGTTGCCATCAAAATTAATACCCGTATTGATAGCTATTTGTTGTAATATTATTTTTAATTTATTTGCACCCATTCCAGAAGGTTTATACCCAATTCCCTTAACTATATCTACAATGCATTTAATAAGTATTTTTTTAGTATGTGTGTAGTAAAAAAAATAAGATTAGATTCCATATGCATATACCAGTTTGCTTTCTTGTTGTTTGTAAAAACAATGGATCAGTACTAATACATTATAAATAAAGTAAAAGATCTGCAATAGGAGTAAATTTATTATTTTCAAGATCAGGAGGTATTGGTATGGTTCGTGTTCCTGTATGTCCATATTGTTGCCGATATAAAACTCTTCCTTGATTATTTTTTTCTTGTCTAAATCTTATTTGTAGTCTACCATTATCTCGTCTTTCAAGATCTTGAAATTCTAATTTATAAGTGTCACCACCCCGTAATCCACAAAGCAATGATAGCCAGAAAAAAATATGTCGAATTAACCCTTTATTATTTTCAATTGATAAGATAAGTAATTATGGTTTAAACATGTAATAATTTCTTCAGTTGTTAGTGAATCACTTTTGCTTGTATCACCATAGCCTTCATTCTGTAATAATTTCATTTTACCATCCAAACAATGTAATGATTTAGGGAAAGAATATTTGTTCCAAATACGAACACCACCTTTGATTAATGAATTTTCTCTAAGATATCTTGCTAATGCTGAATAACAATTATGTAACGATTCTACTTTAAATGGTTAATTAGTAGTTCGCAGTTAAAGGGTACAAATTTTATAGTAAAAATCGGCGGGCATGTGACTAATTACCTTATATA